TGGGGCGCCATCGGCCCGCGCAACTACTTCACCAACGGCATCGGCTACAGCTCCCTCCTGTACTTCTTCATCATCGGCGCGGTCCTCCCTATCCCTGTTTACTTCCTGAAACGCCGCTACCCGAACTCGCTCTGGCGGAGAGTCCACATCCCTTTGTTCCTTGGGGGGTTGAATTACCTCCCTCCCGCGACGGGAACAAGTTATGGTAGCTGGGCGGTTGTGGGGTTGACGTTTGGGTGGTTCCTTCGGAGGAGAGTGTATCAGTGGTGGTATAAGTATAATTTTGTGTTGAGTTCGGCGCTGGATTCGTCAGTGTCCATTGCCGGGGTGGTCATTTTCTTTGCGATTTATTTCAGTGGCGCGTCGAAGGGGTTTAGTTGGTGGGGGACCGAGGTTTATAAGGTGAGTTTCATGGTTTTTCCTGTCTCCTATCGCGGTGTTGGTTGGTTGAGGGCATTTGCTAATGGTGTTGGGTAGAATACGTGCGATTATAAGGGGTGCTCTTATTTGGCTGTGCCGGAGGGCGGCAAGTTTGGTGTTTGATGGGGCTTGACTTGTATATATGTAGTAGGGGCCGTGGATTGTTTAGTCATTAGGACATACTATAGGATTGATTGGGGTAGCTGTATATATTCAAGATGTTATGTAAAATTTTTGTTTATGATCTAGAGTCAAGATGTAGATGAAATCGCGGATTTATACCCTCTCATCCCTGCGTTGGATTGCTTCTGCGGGATGCATTCGATAGTGTTTAATTTCAATTGAACACCGATTCGGTGCTTTACCGATATTTTCATCTCTGGTTATGTGCATGCAGGAGGTGCAGGATTATAAAATCGGCTTCTTGGTTAAGTCATGACTGGTCGCGTGTCCTGTTCAACTTGTATAAGTCGATCGGCATGACTAGTATAAACTTGGCGTGCGGGGATGTAGGATATATACTTCGTATTTAGTATGTATATTTTCTGTTCCTCCCCTGGCCATGATTATAACTCGTTGACGGGAAAGGTATCGATAATTCTCAGTCTAATGCTGCTTAATGCAAGTGGCTGTTAATGTTGGTGTATACGCCCATAAATAGTAATAAAAGTTGGAATATATATATATATATATAATACTTAGTTTTGGAGTATCTCTATCTCTATTTTTTCTATGTGTACGTAGACTTTATCACATAAATTCTCTTGATAACAGGGATTTTAATACGCCAATAAGAGTAAGTTTAGGTGGAAGAAGGTATTACCAGGTTGCTGAGTGGTGAAATAGAATGCCTGTTCATATCTTATGCCTGGCATACGAGAAAGGTATGCGGATGCGCTGTAGATGTCTTGATTTTTTCACACATGCTCAGTGCCTGGCCGGCCATGCGCCAGAGAGGATTGGCTTCATGACAGGATCAGATCCTTGTCAGCCCTGTCTTGTGAGGCGGGATTTGTCTGGTAGCTTTCGGAAGGACGTCATGTCCCACCATTTCAGGTGTCAAGTCAGGCACCACGTGCGCCAAACAGTGGCACACCTTGGTTCAGCCCGGATATATACATTTCAGTGTTTATGAAAGCCGGACATGCATCATCTCTCGATGTTGTGCGTTTCTTGGACTGGTATCTGACCATAGGCTAGTGCGGGAAAGAGATCAGTGGCTTGAAGCGAGCCAGTGTGATGCTATGCAAAGTACTGCTGGATAGCTCTCACACTTCCCGCCAGTTCTAGAAAAATTGCCTGATCCAATGCAGACTAGAAATTGGAAATGGGAGGAATCCCATTGCTGGCCATCCCCTCAACACGTGCCGGGATGCTGCTGGGTTGATATCAGTGGCCAGCCAATCAGAGTGCCAAAAGTGAGCAGGCCCCACTTTCAGGGAATGTGGGTGCCTGGGGACATTGACCAATCCCTGAGGCGGGAATCAGGCACATGCATCGTTAGCGATGGCTTCAGTGGCGATGGAGTTGAAGCTGAAGCTCTCCACTGTCTGGTCCCCTGCTTACTTACTAGTCTAGTCTCTCCGCTGCCCTCCGGTCGCAACTAGCCGACCTGGATGGATGCATCGCCGCTCCCCGTCGGCTCCCCCGAAGCCAATTGTTGTCCGACCTATCTACACGTGTGATCCCTTGCCTTGCCTTGCTTCGTTTGCTGTCGCGACCCCCAGATAAATATGCCGGTCGCGGGGGATATAAACCGGTCGGGTGGCCCCAGACGCTTCCCCCGGCGTATCGATCCGGATCAGCCAAGAATTCTTGTGTTCTTGTCCAGCTGAAAGCACGCGACCATGAAGGGAACTGCTGCTTCTGCCCTACTTATCGCGCTCTCCGCGACGGCTGCCCAGGCCCGTCCGGTGGTCGATGAGCGGTTCCCCTACACTGGACCTGCCGTCCCGATCGGCGATTGGGTCGATCCCACCATCAATGGCAACGGCAAGGGTTTCCCTCGTCTGGTTGAACCCCCGGCCGTCAAGCCGGCCACCGCCAATCCCAGGAACAATGTCAATGTGATCTCCTTGTCCTACATCCCTAAGGGCATGCACATTCATTACCAGACCCCCTTCGGTCTGGGCCAACTGCCTGCTGTTCGTTGGGGTAAGGATCCTCGCAATTTGAACAGCACGGCGCAGGGTTACTCTCACACGTATGTATACCATACCGCTTTGAGTGATTATCGCCATGTGCTGATGAATCTAGCTACGACCGCACTCCCTCTTGCTCCCAAGTCAAGGCGATCACCCAATGCAGTCAATTCTTCCATGAGGTTAGCATCGACGGTCTGGAGCCTGACACCACCTACTACTACCAGATCCCCGCCGCCAACGGCACTACCCAGTCGGATGTCCTCAGTTTCAAGACTGGTCGTCCGGCCGGTCACCCGGGATCTTTCAGCGTCGCCGTGCTGAACGACATGGGATACACCAACGCTCACGGAACACACAAGCAGCTGGTCAAAGCTGCCAATGAGGGAACTGCGTTCGCTTGGCACGGAGGTGACATCAGTTACGCTGATGACTGGTACTCTGGTATTCTTCCTTGTGCTGACGACTGGCCGGTCTGCTACAACGGCACCGGTTCTACTCTTCCCGGTGGTGGCCCTATTCCGGACGAGTACAAGAAGCCCTTGCCCGCGGGCGAAATCCCCGACCAAGGTGGTCCGCAAGGTGGTGATATGAGCGTGCTGTATGAGTCCAACTGGGATCTCTGGCAGCAGTGGCTCAACAATGTCACTCTAAAGATGCCCTACATGGTCATGCCTGGTAATCACGAAGCCTCGTGCGCCGAGTTTGACGGTCCCCACAACATCCTCACTGCTTACCTGAACGACGACATTGCCAACGGCACTGCTCCCACTGATAATCTGACCTACTACAGCTGTCCTCCTTCTCAGAGGTACATTCTCCCTTTCCTAATCCCCAGAGGTAGTAGCTAACCGTCGCAGAAACTTCACCGCTTACCAGCACCGCTTCCGCATGCCTGGCCCCGAGACCGGTGGTGTCGGTAACTTCTGGTACTCCTTTGACTACGGTCTTGCTCACTTCGTCTCTATTGACGGTGAGACCGACTTTGCCAACAGCCCGGAGTGGAACTTTGCGGAGGACGTGACCGGCAACGAGACCCTGCCCAGTGAGACCGAGACCTTCATCACCGACAGTGGTCCGTTCGGCAACGTCAATGGCAGTGTCCATGAGACCAAGTCTTATGAGCAGTGGCACTGGCTGAAGCAGGATCTGGCGAAGGTCGACCGCAGCAAGACCCCGTGGGTCTTCGTCATGAGCCACCGCCCTATGTACAGTTCCGCCTATTCCTCGTACCAGCTGCACGTGCGCGAGGCATTCGAGGGTCTGCTCCTCAAGTATGGCGTGGATGCTTACTTCTCTGGGTGAGTCTGCCCGTGTTTTAACCTTGTACATCACCCGCTAACATTCTCATCAGCCACATCCACTGGTACGAGCGTCTTTATCCTCTCGGGGCTAACGGCACCATCGATACTGCCGCCATTGTGAACAACAACACCTACTATGCCCACAACGGCAAGTCCATAACCCACATCATCAACGGCATGGCCGGCAACATTGAGAGCCACAGTGAATTTAGCTCCGGCGAGGGTCTGACCAACATCACCGCCCTGCTGGACAAGGTCCACTACGGCTTCAGCAAGCTGACCATCTTCAACGAGACTGCTCTCAAGTGGGAGTTGATCCGTGGTGATGATGGCACCGTTGGTGACTCTCTTACTCTTCTCAAGCCATCTCACGTTGCCGGTGGCAAGAAGTTCCACGCTTGAGGTGCGTGATCTAACTGGAAGTTCTGGAAACGGCTGATGAAAATCCTGATTAATGTGGAATGAGATATACATATATGGGATGTGATTATTATGGGACCAGACGTTTGCATGTACATGACAAAAGTACTTAGTATATAATACATTGCTTGGAATATTGCATCATATCAAGTACCAGTAGTCTCATCGCCTGTATCTTGTTTACTGGTCAAGAAAGAGTGATGCAACTAGTAATGCCTGGTATGGAAGGAGCATGGCACTGAATCAGGTGACACGATCTCGACATCATTCGTGACTCTGCGTCGATCATGCCTCAATCTTTCGACCTCATACTGGTACCGCTTGTGCCTCTTCTATACCTCTCCCCAATCAACATCTATGGTTTAGATACCCTATTCGAAAGTGTACTACACTTGTCCTCCGCAGAACGACGGCGTGATCCACGCTATCTCGAGCCACTCCACGGTAATTGGAGCAGACTCCATCCCAAGCCACGACGTGAGATGAATCCCTCCGTGCAGAAGCAGGATTTCTCCAGACCCAAATGCTGTAGAGGCGCACTATTCCCCTAATCCCCCTGGTATTTCCCGACCAGGGTACTTGTACGATGGACCTATAAAAGGCAAATGGGAAGGACATGGTAGATAGCCTTCCACTATCATTGGTCTGTGACATACAACGGACCGGCTCTTCGACTACCGATTTAGAACATACAGTTCTCCACCATTGGTTCTCAATGGACGTCCCTTCGCCCGTTGGCTCGCTTCTTCCCGAGGGTTCTCCCTGGTCCTCGCTTATGGGGGGTGGTAGTCAACACCAAGATCTACCAGTGGAGACTATCGAAGCGGACAATGAAGCGTCGCGCAATCCCTCCCCTATGAGCGAGGATAAACCACCCCAGGATCCACCGTCAGATACATTGGAAGCGGACAACGAAGCGTCGCGCAGCGCCTCGCATATGAGCGAGGATGAACCACCCCGGGAATATCGGTCGCCATCCCCATGCCTGATAAGGGTGTATGAGTATCTAGGGGAAAAGTATTGTGGGCAGACCGATGCATTTATCATCGCATCAGATGCAAGTAATATTCTCAAGGAAGCAGACCCTCCAATTCCCTGTGTACTGTGGGGTTTCATGCTAGAAAATATCTTCGAACATATACATGATGCTTTCGTACGTCTAAAACATATAACGAGTTATGCTGTACAGGATCTCGTGCTTACCAATGAGGCAGAAACCATTATCGATAGACCTTGTAATTGAGGACGAGCAGATGACAGACGCCATTGAAACCTTGCGCAAGGCTGGGTTCAGAGACCATGACAACTATCCGGGGTGCCCCTACAATGAAGGAGCCTGTCCTGGTAACGAACTCAAACCTGTTCACATTTTTCATTTATTCGATCTATTCTCTCATCGCAGATTGGAAGAGACCCATGGCGTGACAAAAGGTTCTCAAGAGCACCACGATTTGAGACTCCACCGCAAGTCGGATGTACTGTGGAGACTTCCAAAGTTTACTGTGCAGACGGAGGCCAACGAGGCGGACGAGAATTTCATGCTAACATTAGACCGCAGACTCCGCTGGAAGGGAGTTCACCGACCCAAGAATAAAGATCATCCGCCCACTAAAAATCCCCTAGTCATACCTACGCCTGCTCGTTATGCCGAGGCCCTGATTTACCTGAAGGCGCGGGACGAGCACTTCAATAAATGCGAAATAGACTGGGATGAAATTCTAACTGAACACTTCAGGACATACCTCTACGTAGCTGAATATGGCGATCTATTCGATTTGGATGCAAACCAAAAAACGCTCAGCGAAACATGTCGAGAATGGTGGGAAGCTTGCAGGACTGCGTCCTATACCGGCGAATCTTCCATAAAAGCGCAGAAAAGATTAGAGAAAGAGTTAAGCCGTGAGTTTGCCGCATTGTATCCAGGGAGGTCTGATGAACCAAAACCAATTCCTTTCGAAGGCCATGGGGAGCAATCTTCGCGGCAGCAAATGTCACCTTCGCCACTTTCTCGTATTCGACGGAAGAGATATTCCCATTATCCGAGTCAGATAAGGCTTTGGATACAGAGGCATCGGTTTAGATGCGTAGTTAAAGTGTTCTGAATGAGAATTCTTGTTTGATTGGATTCCGTTGACATAGGTACTGTATGTGTATCTCGCCCGACTTTGGGTCTCCAACCTCTGTAATAGGCACCGTAGTTGAACTGGAAAGAACTTGCTTTCACTTACGTAGGACTAGAAACACAGAGTCTCGGCTCTTTCCCCGTACTAGGTACGTGAATCACTGTCTATCAGGCAAGAGCTATGAAGAACCCTGATGATACCATAGTTTATACAAAATCCTCCTACAACACGTCCCTCTATCTCCCCTCACATCCCATAACACAATGCTCCTAATCAACATCTTTTGCTACTATTTTTCACTAAGCATCTACACCCGTATATTTACCACCATGGCAGGACAACAATCCATGTACCAGTTCCTATTCGAGGGCCCACAAATCCCGATTGTCTCCTACCGATTCGCTTCATCAATCAGCCTAGTTCTCAAGGCTGAGGGTATTCCATGTCTACTATGGGGTGATTTAGCGATGAGAGCTATGGGTTTCCACAGCATAGCACAAGTACATACCCTCCCTTAATCCCCCATTCTGCCCGCCAACTACCCTACAGAACCTCGATCTCATCCTCGAAGACGAGCACTTGACACGAGCCGCCGCTGTTTTCCGCAACTACGAATATGCCCACGAATTCCCTTACTTTCTACGCTGTGCCTCAGCCACCGCCACAACCCCTGAGTCAGGCCGCCCAGAGCCTACCCACCGCTTCCACGTCTACAGCCACCCCGAGATCACCATGATGCCATCTCAAGCTCCACAAGAACCTGGCGCTCAGGGACCATCAGCGGTACACGGAGAGATACCCCATATAGATATATGCCTGTACTCCAAGCGGTGGTATTTCCCAGGCAATCCCCCTATCCCGACTGGGATCCCACGTCCTACGAACCTATCCTACATGTTGAGTAACGACGGCCGACTACCCTTGACGGGGTATCAACATGGTCAGCCCAACTTCGGCCGCTTTCCGCAAGACATTGCCCCGGTGATAATGGCAAAGCCGGCTCGATATATTGAGACGTTACTGGTTCTCAGAATTAACTTCGGTACTTGGTCGCAACAAACCAGGTGGTGGAGGTTGACTCTTGCTCGGATGACGACGACTGGCTTCGGGAATGGTCCGGATGATGACCCTCAGCCGGTTATGTTTGGGCCGTTGTATGATCCTGAGTGTTTCCGGGAGGAATTTCAGCGTTGGTGGAATTTGATGCGGGCTAGGGACATTGAGGCGGTTTTGGCAGAGGAGGAGAATATGGGGGTGTTGTTGAGGTCGCCGGGTACGCCTGTTGGAGGGCTGTGGGTTCCACTTTAGTTGTTGGCTACTTGGGTCTGGATTGTCTTTTATGGTAATTTTTTGGCTTTCTGGATGTCGGTATCACAGTATGCCGTAACTACGGAAGATGTTCGTGGGTGATGTTTATTATTAATGTATAATGGTTAGGTAGATTGCACAATAGATCACGCAAAGAATACCCATCTTCTGGGATCAGAATGGTTCTTGATTAATTTTCAACTGCCCACAATATTCAATTAGATCATTCAGTACAAGCACTGACAGTGGATCGTGCAACCTTAAGCTAACCCACCCCCTGTCCATTAACATCCCTATCCCCATCATCCAATACGTTCAACCAGAAAGGCTGAATCGAACCCCCACCAAGACTCACTGCTACAGATAAATCTACCCGCAATATCAAACCCCAAATCATATAACCACATGGCAGACGCACTTTCTCCCAAAAGGAAAGCGAAACCCAAACCCCCAATCTGAGAGAGGAGACAATAACCCCTGCGCCCATCAGAGGCGTGACCAACTCAGCCATACACAACCCAACCCGTAGCACCCCAAATTCGCAATTCGTTGGGATGTTGGCAATGGTTTAGAGCTTCTTCCATTCACAAGGACCATAGTAGGCAGGGATGCATCTCTTAAACATTGACTGTCCAATTGTTATGTCCGCGTCCAACCTTTTATATATGTTCATGATGTCGATTGTTTCGGTTTATAGTGAGTATTGAACGTAACTCCAGACATGGTGAAGTACCCAGTGCTTTGCAGAGACATTGTAGAGAGCCATATATGCTGCGTAACCGAGGATTATGATTATGCAGGAATTCAGTGATAATCTGTATATTCTTCGTCATGTCGTACTGATTGCTTGGATAGATTGTTATTATTCCCCAGGAAAAAACAACGACACATTTACTCCCTTGATATTCCTTTCCTATTCATAGGAATCCTGAGAGGCGCCAGCTCTTTCGAATATCAAATAGCAAAAACAGCCCCAGGAATTGTGCAGTATCCAGCAACTCGCAGACCAGAAACATCGTGGGCGGGAAAGTAAGTGTATATGATGGGGAATTGGACATTTGCGCATATAGATAGGGGACTAAGTAGTTCAATGGGGCATAGATGGGAAGAATCCCTGTCAGGCATAAGTCGATGTTAATCTGGACAGATTTTACTGGCACAGTCCTAGTCTGTGTTCTTGGCTGTTGCGGTGATGTGTAATGTGTATGTAGAGCCAAGAGCACCGATCTGTTTCATCTGGGAGAAGTAGCACACTGTGCATAGACCCCTTCATTTTCTTGGTTTGATGGGCGCTGAAGCTAAGTCATGGGAAGAGAAGAAGCGCCGTATAGGTCTTTGAGTAGAGGTTTAATATTATTTGGCTCGTAATCTTCGAGAAGAAAGGGTTAGCTTGCCGGATGGGCAGAATTGACGCTATCAATGACCGGACAAGTGACTGTGCTTGGTGCCATCTCCATCAGGAAGACATTTTGGGTGAAAATGAAAATTCTGTTGGGCCATTTGAGGATCCTGATAACGATATCCGGAATATGGGTATATGTACAAAGGCGAAGCCGGCATAGATAGGCCAAGGCCGGCCGCACACATGATACCCATACAGCCCCTCTTCTTCATTTGTGTTTAAACTTTCCGAGCCATGGAAGGAAAGTACCAGTTCATTGCAAAGTCAGCCAGCAGTACAGCCAGTAATGAAGCCAGATCCAAGAATATATAACTATCACCGTCCCCGAGGATCGTTGGGATGTATTCTTCCAAGACACAACGACCAAACAATATATTGTGTATCCTGTCGTTGATCATACTGATCTCTCTGTATCCCAGCCGTTTAAAAGAAACCCCGGGCCACACCAGAATGACAGTATTCCCAGTGATTTCGGCAGGCGGGACCGCATCCTAGGCCGCAAGTGGGTGGGTGGTACAGAGGTGACATCGCGGAAGTTGAACACTATTCGTTGCTTCTGGATGTGTCCCTTCCATTGCTGTATATAACTTCATGGTCTGAAAGTGGTGCACATAATGAGTAGAATTGCGGACGACGACACAGCGGTGTAGGGTCATGTTCTTGACTCTTTTGCATTTTTATGGTTTGTATTGTCGTTGCCTTGTTTACATCCAGTTAAAACCTTGGCTTCAGGTGTGGGTGAGCCTGCCACAGAAATCCATCTTCAGTTTTGATGGGATTGGTGCATCAGGTAAGTTTCGATGTGTACATGTCTTGCGCCCACACTGGGAGGGATATCCAATCTTTGAAGCTCCTGGAATGATTGGATAGTGTTTGGCATGGTTGTTGGTTGAGAAGGGGATGCACACGTCAGTCTTCAGTTTGGAGAGACGCGGAGAGGACAGAGGTGACTGAATCAACCTCTGTTGTTAAACACTGACATCTGGCGCCAGAGCAGTGCGTGTTCGATTTCCTATATAGAATCTAGGCCGGGAGAGAGGTGCAGTGGGGGAATCCGACTTGTTGTATCAGATCAGTATATATACAGCCATTGGAGCAATTCGATTACTCCTCAGCAGTCTGTTATCCTTTTGGACAAATGCGGTAGATGACGGAATGATTTTTCGATGATTCGACGTCTGTTGTTTCGCAGTGACTGACTCCAGAGCATTGCTTATCCAAATAGACAGCTTGTAACCATGATGATGGCCACAATCACAGAGTCTACAGCAGCTCGATTTGTTTCATACCACCTAATCAGAAGCGCCATGACGTGTTGTATCGATGCTGATATATTCGCTTACACTTCGGTTGGATGAAGCTCAGCTAGCTGTGTAGAATAATCATAATCCTTTGAGTGGATTGTTGTATCTTCTGTGGTATCGTCCTCTGTGTCCATCCGTGGCGAGGAGATGTCAACGATGCGGTGTTACCATGTGCAGTAATTCGTTGGCAAGGACGCAAGCGATGCACAAGATCGAGCATGTCCAATGATTTTAGGCCATTGTACCTCTTGGGGCAGAAGGAAATCCTCTGCGTATCCTTGAGCTTGTCCATACATCCTCTCAATCTCCCTCGTGACCATGGCAAGGGTGTAAGTCTCATATTTTACTACCCAAAAAAGAACACTCGGGGGTTATACCGTTTGGTTGCTCCATGTGGGCTGAGCTTGTTTGAGGCCATATGCGGATTGGATGTTGAGAGGGTCATAGTAATATTGAAGTCCCTGATACCTCTCCATCCATGCTTTCTCGGAGACCGAACCGCGAAGTCACACTGTATAGCCGCTCACGAGAAAGCATAGCGTGTTGAGCAATGATGTCGAGAGGGTGCTAAATCCGCAGGGCATTCTATGATCCATCATGTGCGCGCTTTAACCCTTCCATGACATGAAATTGAGAGCAGGGTCCTTCTCTATGGTGGTGGCAGGCTTTGCTGTCGATGAAGATACCCTTCTATATATAACGCTCGAAGGCATCTTGCGGAGTTCTGCATTGTCCAGACAAGACTCATGACTCTCTGGATGTCTTTCTTATATACGAATTTATTCTACCGCTGCAATCGGGGATTCAGGGCGCAGCATGAAATGACGAGATAGCCATCTCTAAAGCCGAAGAAACATTCCCACTTCAGCCATTGGAGTCATAGTCTCTGGTTTCATCTATTTATATATTTCCATGTAATAGGAATATTGAATTAGGGGCAGAGTTGAGTGGCCCTGCCCCTCTTCGTTGCGGTAGCGGCGTGAGCGAGAGCTGATTGACTCAAGCCAAATCGAGGGGGGTTAACGTGCCTTATATAATTTTTCTACGGCTATATAGTCAGCGGGATTCACCCTATATAGTGATATAGTTTGGTCACTTCCCGGATCTTACCTTTCATAGAAGGAGTCTTCTCTGGAGAGATAGTCTGATTCGTTGGGGATTGCCTCTTACATCGGGGTAAACGCCTGTAGATGTAAGTATCTATCGGCGTTCTCCCGGTTTGCTATCTAACAGAATAAACATTTGGACGCCGCCGGTACGTTGCGAATGAGTGAATATTCCATTACTCAGTGCCTACATGATGGCTGAGGCATTGTGAACTTTCCGTGTACGGACTTCTTAGATCTTAGAATTGAAATCTTCCGGATTACCGAGCTATAGAATGGGAGCACTCTGCTTGTCTGAGTAAGGACACGTTACAAAGCCATGTGCGGCAATAGTGGAGATAGGTACGGAAGCCCAAACGGCTCCATTTCACTAGCATACGCTTGCTCAGGCTCATAGAGATAGCCGCGCTGGAGCTATTGATGAACAGACTACGTTATGTAAATAAATCCATTCTTTTGTAAGTCTATCATGGAAAATAAGAACATATTATGCTCCCTGTTCTACTATGTCTTCTTTATTGCAGTCAATATGGACTCGCCGGTTACCCTCTCGCCTGATTCTGAATAAAGAATTGTACCTCGTCCCATATCGTTGGACAGATGACATTATGTGTGGGCGGGTCAAATGGGAACAATGTGAGTTGTCGACTGAACTCTTCTTCATCTGGGATGCCCATTTGCAGCACCACTTCTGAGATGGCTGCAATCGACCAAGCTCTTAGTGTGGAAGATGCAACATTGCAAGTAGCAAGGTATAGGGTCCAAAGACGAAAGGTGAGCGGAAACCAGTCCAACACTTCAGCATTCTCCAGAAGCCGCCGCAGCTGTGAGATAAGTACATCACTGGTCGATGCACCAGGAGGAGACTCATGAAAGACCGCGTTGATCAGTAGTAAAAGGCTTAGACGGCAGACCTCCTGGGCTTGAACTCTGGAACAATCGTCACTATATTGCAGTGAAAGAAGTGTATACTGGATTGACGTCAGCCAGAAACGGATCCTCGCAACGACGGTTTGACCGCTGCTCTTTGTAATACTGGAGAACTCCTCGACTAAGGATTGTATATCGTCGATCACTGCTTTCAGTGCACTCTCTATGCCCAGAACGCAATCCAGTTCTTGGAAACCTTGAACTAATCGGTAATCTCTAGGACCCGGCATTGGAGACTGCTGGAACCGATTACCGAAAATGGGCTTCCGTCCAACGTCTAAGGATCCATTGATATCGGCCCTAAGAGACCAAGTAAGAGTCTATCCGGAACTCAAGCAGGGACAGCCAGCTAACCGGTAGATTTTTCCCTGTACCATCGGCTTGTCATCTAGTGCGTCCAAACCTCCTCGCATGTCAACCAACGCTTTCAGTATTCTCATGTCAACCTCCCATTGATCGTGCTGGCCCGCTGCTTTCTGTGAGACGGTTAGCCAACATATCCTCCCGATATTTACGACATTGACTAACCTTCGCAATAGCGATACTGGCGACAGCAACTATTGTTTCATCCGAAGGGGCATCCACAGAACCAACCAGTCTTTTCCGAATGATGTTCATAGCTTGACTGGTATGCCAAAGAAATGCAGGGCTTGCTCGAAATCGTTGCAGATCCATAGTGAATAACGATCCACACGCCAGTACTACATGAAGCATTGCTGGGTCTTGAAACAGCAATGGTACCCAATAGTCATCTATTGGATTACAGCCGGCTCTCTTCTCAATTGAGTAGAGTGTCTCTGATGCGCGATTTTTGTCTTCAGGGGCATTTAGTTAGCTAGAAGTGTCCGAGAAATTAGCATATATCCTTTGCAACTCACAAAACGCAAAAAGATCAAACATATATGGCTCCATGTCGATGGGCAGCGTGCCAAATGGATCCATCTGGTTCCTCTGCGGATATGCATGTGGAATATGGGTGTGGGCCGGACGGGACAGCTCAAAGCCAGTGGCTTCAGTGTTCCCTGCTTTCTTCTGTTCTTGGCGACGGCGATTGATCATTGTGTGGCTTCGGATGGTGGTGCGGGCTTCTTCATCTATTCGGGTCAACGTGGGCCCAAAATTGATGAACTTGAAGTGGGAAGCGGCGGCGGGCTGACGACTGGACCCCTCGGGGTGTCGCTTCTTTTTTGTCGCTATTCTTGGTCAACCCATGCTGATAGTCTACCTTAGATGGGTCTGTGGACTCACATCCTGCGGGACGGCCCCTCCTCTTTGGTAGAGACACCTTGAGTGGGCCATTGGTATACTGGAACACCACGGATTCGGATGACAATGGTCCCGTTGAGAATACCACCTCACTAGGCATGCTTTCCATCGGAAATAGATGGAATAGCCTGGAAGATTCTGGAGGAGTGGACAGGAAGAAAATGCGATGAAGTAACTCGGGGTCATATGGGATAATCCTCCTGTCGAAGGCAACCGGGCTTAGCGTGGCTCCGTTATCTCCGTCATCGCCAGACTCACGCTAACCCCATCGGGTAACTGGTCTCGAATTAATTCGGCCCAAATAGGAAATCGACTGGACGAGCCAGCATATGGAGCAAGATGGGCCAAGATGATGACCAAAGTATACACGAATTGGGCTCAATTATTCGTTATTTCCGTGACTATATTGGGAATGGGTAAATGAAGGCCGTACGACTACTACGGCCAGGGCCCTATATATACTATTGTCGTTTTCCACCTAAAGCACTTCTCATTACCATCATCAGTTTGCCAGTATCCTTCAGAAGTGGTATAATTACTTGAGTATCGAACTCTGCAGATTGTCTCTTGCCAATATGTCTTCATATTCCTTTCAGACTTCAGCAGAACAGGTGGCACAGGATTGCCAGGATGCTATTGCCAACAAGACCGTTCTCGTGACTGGCGTTAGTCCAGGTGGTCTTGGTGCCGAGTTCGCAAAGGTCATTGCCATTCACAGCCCTTCCCTCATCATCCTTGCTAGCCGTGATATTCTCAAAGCTCAACAGACGGCCCAGGAGATTGCGAACATTGCTCCAGGAGTAGCCACCCGTCTCCTAGAACTAGATCTGCGCTCTCAGGCCCAAGTCCGAAACGCTGCCAAGGAAGTCCTGACATACAAGGAGGATATCGATGTCTTGGTCAACAATGCTGGTGTCATGGCATCACCATTCTCGTTGACAGAAGATGGAATCGAGAGTCAATTTGCCACTAATCACGTTGGACATTTTCTCTTCACCAATTTGATTATGGAAAAGCTAGTGCATCCTGGAACCCCTTGTCGGGTTGTGAATGTGTCGAGTAATGGCCACCAGTTGAGTTCAGTCAGATTCCATGATTGGAATTTTGACGTGAGTAATGATGCGTGGTATCCCAATGTCGAGACAATGAGCTGAAGGCTAGTATTAGGAAGGCAAAAACTATGACCCCTGGTTGGCCTACGGCCAAAGCAAATCCGCCAACATGCTCTTCTCTGTGTCTCTAGCGCAAAAGCTTGGGAGCAAAGGTCTCATCTCGGTCAGCCTACATCCTGGAACAATCAACACGAATCTTGCCAGAGGAGACTGGTCCGAGATGTACGAATCTCTCGGTATGGGCCACATCTGTATCCTTTGCACGAGGTATGCTAGCTGACATTACCGAAGTGAAATGGTTCACAGTACTCGGGTACTTCCGGAGTGGACAGAGAGAGATAACCTGGAAGACTATGTCGCAAGGTGTGGCGACGCATGTATTCGCCGCATTTCATCCATCCATCACCACAAATCGTAAGTTGATTCTGTGGGTGGCTCATCGTTCTAAGCTAACCAAGTCTGGCAGAGAACAATGGAAGCTTTGTCCAGGACTGTACAGTACTGAAGCCGGAGGAGGTCCGCAGCTGGGCGCGGGATCCGATCGAAGCAGAACAACTGTGGAAGTTGACTGAGGATATAGTTGGTGAAACTTTCGATTATTGAAAACCATCACTGTGATGAATGGTGAGGTAGTGGAAACAGACATTTAGTTGGAGATGTGCTCTGTGTGAGATTGATTCGTTGTTTTTGATTTTGTCTTGTCTTTACTCAATAATTTCATCTTGCGTTCAATGCTTGAGAACCCCGCGGCTTGTAGATGCTTCGTGACGTGCAATCCGTGTTGTTAGCATAGCATTCACCGCCAGCTTATGTCCGCCTTGGCCTGAGCAGGAACGGAAATGTAAGAGTACCGGGCGGATTTGGTGCTGAAGGACACAAGTGCAACTAGGACTGACTTGTTACATTCTAGGACCTTCCCAATTCATAACCCACCACCCACCAACAAATTCTGGGATAAGAACATGAACATCCGTCCATATATCAGATATCAGCCCATACGAGATGTCAGCTCCGGAACAGGACTAGCGTACCACAACTCCGGTAAAGACCACCCGAGCCAATAAAGATACATCATCCCAACCAGTGACGCAGCGGGCGCGGAGGGTGACGGAAGCCAGCGTCATGGACTGGTTACTACATGGACTTTACATGGATGTTATCCGGGAAGTGCGAGCATGGAGCCGGCTGGGATGTCAGCCCACGTTAAGAATGGCCAGTTCCAGCCTTCCAGATATCCGTCTTAAATAGAAGCTGAGGGCGGTACCACATCAAATCTCAACTAACGGCATTTTACCAAGTGTGATAGATACTCTCCCAAAATGCCATCGGATTCGAATGATCAGAGCATCTCCGCTTATGGAGCTGCTCGCTCCACGGTCAAGGGCCAGAACCTTGACCCTGAGGAAGTCCGGAAAATGGACGCCTACTTTCGCGCCAGCATGTACCTATGCTTAGGCATGCTCTACCTGCGCGAAAATGTGCTTCTGAAACAGCCATTGAAGGTGGAGCATCTCAAAGCACGCCTACTCGGCCACTGGGGCTCAGACGCAGGACAATCCTTCACCTGGATTCACATGAACCGGCTGATCAAGAAGTATGATCTGGACGTTCTCTTCATCTCAGGCCCGGGTCACGGTGCCCCTGGCATTCTTTCACAGTCCTACCTGGAGGGTGTATACTCCGAAGTCTACCCGGACAAGTCGGAGGACGAGCGTGGAATGCAAAGGTTCTTCAAGCAGTTTTCTTTCCCCGGCGGTATCGGCAGCCACGCTACCCCAGAAACCCCCGGTAGTCTTCACGAGGGCGGGGAGCTGGGTTATTCCATCTCGCATGCCTTTGGCACCGTCTTCGATCATCCCAATCTAATTACCCTTACCATGGTGGGCGATGGTGAGGCCGAGACCGGGCCATTAGCTACCAGCTGGCACAGTACCAAGTACCTCAATCCCTGCACCGACGGTGCCGTTCTGCCCGTGCTTCATCTCAACGGCTACAAGATCAACAATCCGACACTCCTCGCACGCATCTCCCATGATGAGCTTTCTGCTCTCATGAAGGGTTACGGCTGGACCCCTTACTTTGTAGAGGGCAGTGATCGCGAAACCATGCATCAAGCCATGGCAGCCACGCTCGAGCACTGTGTTCTTGAAATCAGGAAATTTCAGAAGAAAGCCCGCGAGTCGAAGGAGCCCTTCCGCCCACACTGGCCCATGATCATTCTGCGCAGCCCAAAGGGTTGGTCCGCCCCGCGTGAAGTCGATGGCAAACTTCTTGAGGGCTTCTGGCGTGCCCACCAAATCCCTATCACCGACGTCCTCACCAATCCTTCACATCTTCAACTTCTTGAATCGTGGATGAAGAGCTATAAGCCTGAGGAGCTCTTCACTCAAGACGGCCGTTTGATCTCCGAACTCAAAGCCCTCGCTCCAACTGGCAACTCCCGTATGAGCGCCAATCCGGTGGGCAATGGTGGGCTGCTACGGCGACCGCTAGACCTACCCGACTTCCGCAAGTACGCACTCACATCCATCGATCCGGGAGCCACCATCCGCGGCAGCATGGTCAACATGTCACACTACCTCCGTGATGTGGTCGCCTTCAATCAGACCAACTTCCGTGTCTTCGGGCCGGACGAAACTGAATCCAACAAGCTCTCCGAGATCTACAAAGCCGGCAAGAAAGTCTGGCTGGCCGAATACTTCCCTGAAGATAACAACGGCGGAAACCTTTCCATGGCCGGCCGAGTGATGGAGATGCTTAGTGAACACACATGTGAAGGCTGGCTAGAGGGCTACGTCCTCTCAGGCCGCCATGGGCTCCTTAATAGCTACGAGCCCTTCATCCACATCATTGACTCTATGGTGAACCAGCATTGCAAGTGGATCGAGAAATGCCTCGAAGTCGAATGGCGCGCCAAAGTGGCATCTTTGAACATCCTCCTCACCGCGACCGTCTGGCGCCAAGACCACAACGGATTCACTCACCAAGACCCAGGCTTCCTCGATGTCGTGGCTAACAAGTCTCCCGAAGTCGTGCGCATCTACCTCCCGCCCGACGGAAATTCTCTCCTCTCCGTAATGGACCACTGCTTCCGCAGCGCCAACTACGTCAACGTCATTGTCGCCGATAAACAAGACCACATCCAATTCATGGACATGGACGCAGCAATTGCCCACTGCACCAAGGGCGTCGGGATCTGGGACTGGGCCAGTAACGACCAAGGCGCGGAACCAGACGTCGTGATGGCCGCATGCGGCGACGTTCCCACACACGAGGCACTAGCCGCCACAGCGCTCCTGCGCGAACACCTTCCCCAGCTGAAAGTGCGCTTCGTCAACGTGGTCGATCTTTTCAAACTCATGTCCAAGATCCATCACCCGCATGGAATGTCCGATCGGGAATGGAAGGCTATCTTCACGGCTGATAGGCCGATTGTCTTCAATTTCCACTCGTACCCGTGGCTTATTCATCGGTTGACGTATAAGAGACCCGGACAGGAGAACATTCATGTGAGGGGGTACAAGGAGAAGGGAAACATCGATACGCCATTCGAGCTGGCGGTGAGGAATCAGACGGATCGGTATAGTTTAGCTGTTGATGCGATCGATCATGCCCGCGGACTAGGCAATACGGCGTCCGGAGTGAGAGAGAAGTTCCTGAATATGCAGTTACTGGCCAAGCAGAAGGCATACGATGACGGCATTGATCCGGATTATATTCGGAATTGGACCTGGCAGTATCCGCGGAAGAAGGGGGAGGGCGTCTGAACTGTTTGAGTGGAAGATTGGAGGGAGGAGTAAATAATAGTGGTCATAATTAGGTAATAATTTAATCGTATTTTATCACTGTCTGTGGGTCTAAGCATGTACTACTACTAAATGGTAGAGATCACTACTAGGAACTTAAAGTCGCTCTTCCGAATGGAGTTTCCAGTTGCCGCTGGGTTGCCCATGAATATTGCCAAGTGCTATAGAGCTTGTTGCAAGAGCGGGAAATATATACAAGTGACACCACTACTATTGGCCAAGCTCCCACACTCATCTCTAGTTCATTTGAAGTTATCGGAAGTAATGCTTCCCCCATAATCATGTCACATTCAAATTATTAAACCAATTTTAATTAATGGTGTTACACCAATATTCTTCTCAAAATGTCGCAGAGTCTCTGCAAACGAAATGTCCGGTCCACTGGAGACCAACTTGGCAAAGCTGACTTTTGGTATTGATATAGCTAAGATGCTAACCAACCTATAACAAAACGGGCAAGATGGCCGAGCGGTCTAAGGCGCTAGGGTCAGGTCACCTGATCATGCATATTCCAATCCGGAGTATTCCTAGTCTCGAAAGGGGCGTGGGTTCGAATCCCACTCTTGTCATCTCTTTTTGCTTTCACAAATCTACCTTCTGTTGTAGGGTTTGTATTGGATCAACTCAATTCAAGTTTTCCTTTTTTATTTCTTTTTTTCTCGAGTTGCCTGTCAAAGTCGAACTACTCTTTTCGCAGACCTGAGGATTTCCCCGTATGTCGGTTTGGCGCTATAGGGATATTATAAAGAACGTTCGATGCAATCATTTGCGTGGTTCTTAATTAAACAATGGAATGATTGGAAATAATGCCGCATATGTAGAGCATAATATGCAGTATGATTAAAGTAATAACTATCCCATTATGATATTATGTCAGTTGCCTCTGCATTCGCACGACAGTATGGGGAAAACGGAAACAGCTCCGGTAAAAACCCATACCAAGGCATCTTGTGCGATGAAGTCAACTAATTAACACTTTTTCCCTTCAATCACCAATCAAGATGACACAGACAGATGTTCCACCATACTTGTGCTCGGTGCGTGCAACAGTACCAGCAAGATTAATGAACAATAATTAGACAGGCAGTGCACACTTCACATCCTTTTCTGAAGCCACAGTGATGACAACCAACTACTAGTAGTTCACGTCTCAAAACATTTCACTCCTTGAAATAAAGAATCATGTTGTCCACAACAGCATCAGCACCATGGATGGGGTCTCGGCCTGTAGCTCCAGCCCATTCCCCATTTGCACCAAGATCATCGTCTTTCAATTCGGTTACGTTACCCTCATGTCCACCAACGTCGAAACCATCGGGATTATGGTTTGTTGTGAATTGAAACCCGTTGACGAAGCCGTCGTCCTTCCCAGCATAGACCCACATGTGATTTATTGTTTCATCATCATCAAAATCATATGACTTTTGGTAGTAGTTGAGATTAGGATCTTTGCCGCCAATTCGACCACTCCAATCGCCGTTCTGGAATTGAAACTCGATTGCACCAAGGACATCGTAGTCATTGTAGCGAGCTTCCCAGGCGTTAATATGCTTGACCTTCTGTTCATTGTTCCTTGCGTCGTAGGCACTGCCGCCGAACCCACCAAAGGGTCCATCTTGATGTAGGCCAAAGGTATTCATGGTGTTTGATGTGAATACTCGGCAGCACGAGGGGATTTGGGCTTTGGTCCGTTCGTAATATAGAGTCACATAGATAGTCTGAAAGTGATGGTTTTGGAACATCAACACGTGGGGTGCACATAAGCTATTACCTTTTTATATAGGTCTCGGTGGGGTCGAGATTACCCCGACTCGACGATAAAACTGCCAGTAATCATAGTCTTGTGGCAACGGAGAGGCCGAAAGTATAGTGAATTGATCGTCTCGTGTCAAGACTCTCCCAAGTAAAACCTTGTGATGTAGTAGTTCCTACGCCTACCTGTGCTAGAAAACCACAGGCCAAACTCAGATGATGCCCGATGCGTCTTGCAACGAGTCGAAGATGCATCTAGAATCTCAAATACACATTTGGAGAATAAGTCAGCAGACACATCAAAATATCATCACACCCTAGATGACGTTTTTTTCATTGTCGTCTTAAGGATCAGACACCGAAACGAAAACCTGCATTAGGCCATCAATGACCTTGTCGTCGTACATTGACATAGCTTATTACCTCCGAGAACCCCGGGTTGGGAAGTCAATATGCTTGATGCCGAGCCATTAGGGGCATACATTCCTAGTATGGACGTTCCACAAGGAAGTAATTTGGCTAGACCTGGGTGATTCGTGCAGTGCCAGACTTATCCGCAGGGTAAGTGTCAAAGATATAGTATGCTTGCGGAAACACTTCCGCAATCGTGCAATTCCAGATACAGTAGAAATTTGGTAAAAGATTGCGCCGTGAGCCATCCTAGACTGGATAGGCTACACGAGCTGACTATAAAATATTAATTATTCAGATGTTAGTAAGGCGTCATCTCCTGATAGGGCTCACGCCACGCATCAGGCTCTGGGTCTTCGACCTCGCCGAAGTCATGATTCATACATTTCATGTAATGTTTCATAGCTGGTCGTATGGGAGCATTGGAAACTAGACGACGACAAAGAATGTTGTTTGTAGTAAATCCCAACGAGGACGTCGATGCTGACGGCCGTCATATCCCAGCTCACGGGGCAAGGAGAGGTCTGAAGCTTGTTATTGGCCATTCATGCCTTGCCCCACGGGCCGCATCCGGCTGACATGCTAGCTACCAGTAACGTTGAAACTCTTAAGTGTTCTATTTAGTTGCACATGATCTGTTGTAACAATGGCGTAGTTTACTGAAGCTTTCTAACGCCAGAATGGAAGCAGCGTTTTTGCGATAAGTTATAGCGTCAAGCATAATGAATCTCTCATGTGGTAGGTCTACTTGGCACAAACCCTGCCAGTATAGGTGGCATATCAGATATTTTTCTATCAAAGTAAAGAATGAGGTCGACAGACAATGGACCCACCGATCGTGATTGCGGGGTATCTCCAAAACCTAGAACAAGGATTCCCCAGCCAAACAATCAATCATCCACATCCTTAAACCACTTACCCCAACATCCTCAGTGTGGGCTGACCTCTACCCCAGGCTGTGGTGCTTCACTGTAAGAGAAGGCAGGCTGTCACTCATGGTTGCAAGTTGGAGCAAGAGATATGAAACTCTTGACACAAATCACTGTGTGGACGACCGTGTGGGCAATGTTCTGTTTGTGAAAGACGTGACGAAGCCAGAAAGGACAGCCAATGGCTGTGGGAGTCTCCGTCTCCAATATCCTGGAATGCTGCAATGTTCACAGCTAAACCTTACCAGGCACCAAAGCTCCATTAGTGACTAATGACATGGGGAACTAGCGCATCTGCTCGGTTGGGAAGAGATTGAGATACCTATCCCTGCTTTACAAATAGGCAAAGGTGAGAATGATTCAGCTTTCCTGTAACGATTGCATCAAGGCTTTCAAAAGGGGGCATCTTTCAAGGGTATTCGAGGTAGAATTTTGTCTTTTTGTTCTATTAAGTTCTATAGTGAGTATCTAGTTCAAAGTAATGGGCCTCTGGAGGTGGTAGCCTCATTCCGTCCAAAAGGTGCTTATGTCGTATATGCGTTCTAGCAGCCACTGACCCCTTCCATAAACGAGGCATCTCGAGGACCACCGTGGGAAACCATTCACCTGACCGTTATGAAGAGTTCCGTCGCGTATAAGCCCGTGGTCTGGGTTGAGGCGTCGCGTTGAGTGGCTGTGTGTGAATCGGAGCGATGCTCGGGCATTATACGTGATGCGATTGTCGACACTGAGAGTCGATCCTTCATATGCCATCTCGTGTGACCAATTCTTGTCAACAAATCGGCTTAAGGGCTTCCGAGGGGTGTTTCCGCACTGGTCCCAGCGAGTCAGCGACTTAATCAACACATCGAGCTGGGATCTTCCTAACAGAAACCCAAGCTGTCATGAGTCTGTCCAGACCATCGCCTGACCAACGGTCCCGAGTTTACCTGTCGGACAACTGTGACACCTGCACCGGTACTGCCCGATTCGTCAAATCCAGATGCAGTTATGTTGAATCCACGAGAACTTGGTGATAATGGATCCGGATCCGAACTGGCCCCTTGGGCAATCTTGACCAGCCGACCCAGAATAGCATATTCCAACTTCAACTTGACGCTGTATGCAACAGGTTTGAACATGACCTGCAGTGCATAATATCCGGCGTACTCAATGGCGACGACTGCCACGTCCAGAATGAGGATGAGTATATTGATAACAAGCAATTGAGTGAGGATAATGAACCGGGACCTCTCGGGACGAAGGCGCAGCATCTTGATGGTTTCCCATACATATATGCCGGAAAGAATGAACTCTTGGACGCAAAAGCCGACGAGCTGGACCCGCTCCATGATGTCGTAGCCCCTGGCGAAGTGGGGGGTATTTGATAGTGATCCATACAGCAGGACTGTTGTGGGAATTTGGAAGGCGATGCTGTCGATAATGATCATGTACAGGAGGCCCTGCAATAGCTTTTGCGATTGCACGAGGAGGTGCAATCGCGACCAAAGAACGAGGGAGTGACCAGTGACTATGCTAATCCAGGTAGGTATAATCAAGGACACAGGCACATAAGGAGAAACAGTAGAGAAGATAAAGAGAAGGTATCCCACACAATGGGGGATAAGGCTCGCCGAGGTGACGAGCAAACTCCAGAAATAACATCCATGATACCTTTGAAATGTCGTGAAACAAAGCACGACGAGCTCTATCGCATTGTAGAAGGTAATGGCCGCAAAGGCGGAGATGACATATTTCTGGATTGGGTCCTTTGAGGTAAGCGACGAGAAATCGCCGCTATGAACGTCGATACCGACCTCCTGCGACATACTAGTCCCGTTGTCGGTCGCATCGGCCAAAGAGTCTCATACCGATAGTGGTGCTGATGTGAAAAGCGACCCTATAAGGCCTCTAGAGGAATGAAAAAAGTAGAGGTGCCGACGGAAGTTCTAAAATTGGCCAAGTGGCTGCAAATATGCACAGAGCGCCATGCCTGCCAGACCCTTTTGCGCAGGACTGAGGCCAAAGCGTCTTTGAGAAACGAGAAGAGAGAAAAGCTGGACAGGCGTGAAGGTTTATTCTGAGAGATGTCCCTCCGAGGACTGCGAGTGGAAGCTTGGTTCATGCGGGTTGCGGAAACCTTATTGCCCGCCTCTGACGTGCACGACCTTTCTTGGCTTGTCAGTCAGTCTTGCACAGCTCCCTAATCGGAAATGACTACGAAGTCAATTATAAGGGCACGCCAGAGGCTCTACGATGCGGTGGACCCAAGTACAGGAGTCTGGAAGCTGCGATCGTCCTACAATCCAGTCTTGGCCCGTTTGTCCATGGTGCTCTATGGAACGTCGACCACATTCAGCACCTTGGCCGATGGAAGTCTTAATAATATAAACCTAGATTGGAATCTGAAAGGTTCCATTGGGCACAAGAAGTTCCGACGATTGAATCCAACTTTATCGGGTCAAAGGAAGAGTACAATCCTGCACGACGATTATCTAAGCGGGCTCGATGCGAGGGAAGTTCCACCCCCAGATTGCCAAACGATGACGGTACAACGTCTGTAGCTTGCTGGTTAGATGTGGACAGGTGGGAAATTACCCCACAACATAACCTGTTGGCTGTTACCACTCTTTCTAAGGTGATGCTATCGTGTATCAATGGATGGCTTTGTACTCTGCCCATAATGAATCTCAAAACGAGATTGTACCTTGCATCCCCGCGGATAAAGCACAAGATGGCTGCTGGCGTGGACGCCACACGGACTATGCTGTACCAGGGATAGGAATGAACAGGAAAGCCTACTATTTCCCCTCGGTACTAGTGCCCAGCATGAAGCTGCTGACTCCCGAGGTTGTCCATCCACCTTTGAGGCCGTGCGAATCATGTCCGATCCTCCGATTCACACTGAACTCACCAGCTTATGTGGTGTTCTGGCGTACATATACTAGGAATGTCAACAGTTGAGTTTGTATTTAACCAGAGACCAGGCGCGAAAGTCTGGCTGCGAAATGGTGTACTTAGCAGTTCATTTTAACAATTGGGGCTAGAAAGCTAGATTCTTACTCTTCTAGAACCTTGGAATTTGCCACATGTTTTATCAAGCCACCAACTATAATCGCTAGGTTTCGATGCATATATAGAGATATCTTCATTGGCGCCACCTATCCATGGTAATACGGTCATTGGCTCGTATATAAGGATGTGCCTTCTGTCTGTGCGTGTACATCCTGGGCAATGCAAGTTAGGTCAAAGTTTTAGTAGCCACTTTGGTCGAAAAGAATGGCCAACCATGGGACGAACACTAGGCAAGGTGCCCATCTTATTCGTGTTCCTGTTCCGGCTGTTTCCGTGGGGTATTGTCTCTTCCACTTCGTCTTCCCGGGCATCGTCTTGCTTAATCAGAAAATGAACTAAGTAGAGGCTCTGGATTTCATTGATCGTGATTATATTAATTAGTCTATCGCTTCTCCCCTGAACTGGCATAGAATGGACTTGCTAAGCGGAATTTGCAACAAATAATGGGTACCGTGGTGGCTGAATATTATGTTCTTGTTAAACCAAACAGTCGATAGTAATTTTGCTCTACTATGACTATTCGATAAGGGCATATTGAGTCAGGTACGTGTGAAAGAGCTTGGATTATCTGAGATGCTCTGAAGAACTATATATCAATTATAGTATGTGCCTGGCCCACTGGAATTTCCGTCAGGTAGAATGCAACATTTGCGATAGATATTTAGAGGCATGCGATGTACGGGGATGATGCCTCACAATGCGTTTCATATACGTTCCTTTCTGCTAGTATTGTGGGTGGACAAAAGACTGCAAGTTGCACATTAGTCTTGCGAGGCAGAAACATTTCAAGTAATAGCCGTTGGGGTCTGAGACGAACCTTCTTTGTTGATCGACCATACCGGTACCTGCCACTTTTGGCCGACATATCGAATATCAGACTTACAAACTAACACCGCCATAATGCATACCCCCAGCAACGTCAAAGGATGATGAGGTACATGCCTATGATATGACTATTTTCAACCCTCATTAGGCTCTCACACTCTTTTGCTTACGGTTTATGATATGCAATAATCGATCACGTCCAACCGAGTAAAGTCTAAATGACATTCTTTATATCACCCTTTATCATTATAAATAGCGCCTCAACAACAAACCCAGGAACTTTGGCCTTAGCACTCCTGATTACACTCATCACTGTCACTATCAACCTGGTCGGCCTACTTCACTAACAGACAGCCGACGAAGATCGCTCACAATGGCCGGGCTTACCATTCCACCTTCACCCCCTTCATCTACCACAGGAGCGTCCAGGCTCGAGGCTCGCGCCAAGGAAATAGTAGGAAAGATATTTGGTATTGCCGTGGACGGAGTCGAACGCGCCCCAATTCTGGACTACAACGCAAATACCATCTCATATGAAGTCTACTTCCTCCAGACAATGTGGAGCCTACGTGATGCTCCCAAGCAGCACGGAGTGGTGCGCATGCCGTCGGGCTCGAGACAGTTAGTCATACAGTTCAAAATCCCCGAAGGAAACATGGACCAGGGCCGTTGGGCGGAGAACAAAGTCGCTGCAATGTATACTGCGCGAACGATTCTGTACAACACCCTCTATCTTCACACTGTGCCTGAGGTATATGCGTGGAGTGACGGAAGCGATGATGAATACAACAACGCTTGGATTATCCATAGCTCTCATCCGCCCGGGGACGCCCCACTCAAGCAATCCTTTTATGAAATGTCCGCGGAGCATCAGAGCGAGATTTTGGGCCAGATTGCGACAATACATAAACTCTTCCAATCCTATGATCACATGATTGTATGTCAGGGATACGGGGGCTTCGGGTTTTCAGAGGAAGGATACGTTCGCTCTGGAGAGGCCCTTATGACTGGCGTCGGAGGTCCGTTTCCCAATCTGGGGAGTTATCTCACAGAGATGTTGAGGAGAGATCTGAGACGGGCGGAAGAGCGACAGGACATCGAAGGCTGGCGGAAAAGCCCAGAGTTGAGAAGCAGGCTTGAGGAATTCGTTGAGCAGTCTGTCAAAGATGTAGTGACTGAAATACCTGAGTATCACCCAACATTTACATTGAACAGGATCGGTAAGCAATCTCCCTGAACCACCATCACCAATCCTTAAGATTTCCAACTAACACAACGATCAAGAACTGGGGAATTTCCTCGTCTCACAAAGACCCGATCAGTCACCAATCATATCCTACATCCTCAATTGGAACTATGCCTCCCTCGGCCATCCTCTGGAGGAGTTCATATACTCCTATAACAGCTTGCACGGCGCGCTCTTGTTTCCCATGGATAGTGACAGTCTTGTCATGTCTCGATGCATACTGGAAGGATTTCCAGATGGAGACGTGGAAATTGATCTGAGAGATCTGGACAACTATGCATACTACGATGACGGTATGAGCGCACAATCCCAATATAACTTAGCAAGGAATCTATATGAGGCTCTGCAGATTGCAGAGGTGGACAGGCCACAAGATATAGAGGGGGCAAAGAAGTTGGTCGTATTCCTTGGCTTCTGTGCGGCCGTCGGCGGGAGAGGATTGTACCGTGATGATCCAGCATCCAATGCCGACCCGGATGAGGTTTATCAGGACAAAGCGAAACAGGTGGAGGAATACATGAAGCTCCTTGGTTATTGGTAGTTATATATTTTTGGAAGGGGTCATGCAATGCGGTCGTATAGGGGATACTGATCATGACGGCGTTAGGTCATGATTAAAACACTTACAAAATTAATAGTATAATGGACTATTCTTGAACGACCAAATTATTCGCCCTTGAAGATTTTCATCTTTCTTTGCACCGGGTTTATCAAAATCTGAATTCCACACATGCAGCCCATCAAAGACACATAACTCCCCTTAGTCCCAGATCCAGTACGGCGCAAACAGGAAAGACTTCCACTCACGGAACATAATCCCCCTCTAGCTCCCGAAACCCACGAAAGAACGGCAAACTAGAGAACAGCGTCTCATCGTAAAAATCAGAATTCCAAGAGCGGTCCAATTCTAGCGGCAGAGAACCAGAAAACGCATCCATGAAATCAGTATCCACATTGACTGGTTGAAGAAAATCCCCAGAATCTGCAGGCGCATCAGCCGTGTACTGTTGCAGACAGGTAAATTCGCTCTCCTGGATAGCACTTCCCTGATGCGACTCAGGAGTAACCTTGCCATGACACCATAGATGACCTAGTAATTTAGCGTAGCGATGAGCAATATGCGTTTGGCTTGTAGCGGCGCCTTTGAGCATAGAGATGAATTGCCGGGTTAGGGTGAAACAGGCTTGGGATTCTTCGGGGGAGATGGCTCCGACGGAGTAGGCTTTGAAGAGGAATACGGAGGCATAGATTTCGTAGCTTGGGTGTGTTAGTAGATTGTTCATGGATGGGAATATTACAGAACATACAGGTAATATCGAACGGGAAGAAATTTCACAATGTCCGATGGGGTTATCTTTTCCACGAACGTTTGAAGTAAACTTCTTGCTGCGTTGGTGGCTGCGTAGATGTGGCGAGCGTCGGGGCTGGCCATGACACTATCTGGGAATAAGGATGTGATATCTCCCTCGCTTCTGTTGATGGAGGTCTTAGAAGAGCGATATAGGACTGCTTGGAAGGCGAAGGCGTTCACGTAGAGTTGTAGATACTGGTACTGTAGTGTGAGGAGACAACACAGAGTGGAGGGAATGTCGACGTTTGACCAGGTTCCCTTCCACATCTCCATTGCTTTGGCGGAGTCGTCGAGGTATTTGGAGTAGTCTCCAACCAGCATTAGCTGACGTGTGCGCGACTTTAATGCGTAGAGGATGTCGTGAATATTCCCGAAGATGGTTGTTAGCTCTACTTGCGCCTGTACGAAGGAGGCGTAGTCTGTTCCGCCAGTAATGGCCGGTTGTAGTGATGGGTAATCGTGGGTGCTGAATCTGGTGGATAGACTTGGTCCGCGGGACCAGAATGCTTGGCCCATTTGGATTGATATTTGCCGGTCGGCCAGATAGGTAACTGGCGATAGCCGGTTAGGAGGCATTATCCTAAATGGAGGTCTGAATCACCTACATATCCATGCTAGTCGTCGCCGGCAGCGCATACTGCTTGGCTCGGACTCCACCTCCCAGGGGAAGGATTGTTTTTCCAGATGTAACAAATATGCCTGTCTGACTGCAAGACCTATCAGGTTCCAGGCTACACAGTCCTCGTCGTACGCGTTGTTTTGTTCAAAGTTGTTACTGTAGGGCTGATCCTGGGAAAGCATTAGATGTGGCATCCACTCGGCTAGAAGCAGTAAGCCTTCTACGGTCCCAACTTGCCGCACACTTCTGGCGCCAAGAGTGACACGAAGTATTAGCTTATCGATATACCCTCTGATTCGGATGTGAAGGTGCTTCTGATCCGGCCTGTTCTGAGTGGCTATTGTAAGGACGGAGGCGAGGAGGAACGTCTCTGTAGCCCATAGGTGCTTGCGGTCTTTTGTGTATAATAGATTGCTGGACACGATAGGAAAGTAATGATGGTAGTTTATGGTATAGCTTGTTGTATTGTATCGGTTAGTGCAGGCACAATCGGCCATGGTAGCGGGACATACTATTGTACCAGGGGTTCGAGGTCCAGTTCGTCGATGATACCCTCCTTGATGATCTCTGTGGCCATTATTGATGCCTTGGGTTGCTCTCGTGAATTATGATGCAAAGACTTCCCCACTGCACGCCCTGTGCCATCCGATCTTTGAGAAGGCCTCTCAGGCGAAGGTATGCTGTCATCCCCCGCAGTGGCGGCCGTCTGAGCGAGGATTTGAAGAGCTTCTAAGGGGTTTCGAACACCCCCACGAAAAAGAGTGTCATTGTCCACCCCCACAGTTTCGGCGTGCAATGCACTCGGTTGTAGTTCTGTCTTGGTTTCGCCGTGCTCACTGACCCTTGGAGGCTGCGTCTCGGCGTGTCCATGACGTCGACCCCGGAAGCGAGAGTAGTCACCCCCTCTTCTCGAGGTGGCTGGCATGCATTGATGGCCTTCTAGGATGCACTTTGAGCATGGCCCATGGGTCCCTCCCTCCGTATATCTCCTACGATGGTGGATGTAAGAAGGAAGAATGGAGCGGAGTATGAGCTGTACCCACAAATCACATTTTATTTTGCGTTGTCGACAACGAAGGCAGGCCCGGTAAAGCCTTACGCCTGTACTTCTAGTCATAGCGTTTGGACGAAATAATTGATCTGTGGTCAGAGACAGAATGGGTATGAGGGAGTCGTCGGCTGTAGAAGTGCGGGAGAAATGCGGGGCTCCCCACGTTCGGCAATAGACGGCTGTAGGTCTCGTCTGGCGATGTTTGGGACTATATCAAGATGCGCGATCCCAACCCTCAGCCCCGTAGGTCTCATTCACAGGTACTTTCTAAGCCATCAGTCTATTGAATTTGTTTGCCTGGGTGGCAGTGAAACTGTCATCAGCTATCGGAACTCCTTTTTCTCTCCACAAGATGTCAGCAACAAGCCTTTGTGAATCCGAGGTCTTTACCTCCGCTCGTCTCGTAGCGAGCGACTGCAAACTGCCTCCGGACGACAGATACGGAGAATACTATCCCCTTGATCCCAAGTATCTCAAGCTTAAATCCAACTTCGGGCCCATGCTCCCGGAGAAGATCGGATATCTCCAGCCCACATCGAAGGACACCCCGATTGAGGTCATGCGAGAGAGACTTATCCGTGATGGGTATCTATTCGTAAGGCCACCTCCGTATTTATCATACATCTCATACTAATCCACATATAGGTCAAGCAGCTGCTCCAACGAAACCAAGTCCTAGAATGCCGCAGCAACTATTTCTCATACATGGCCCCCTCTGGCCTCCTCAAAGAAGGATCCGACCCAGTCGACGGGATCTTCAGTGACAAGGATAGCCGCAAGTTCTTACCTCCGGGCAACCTCCGACGACTCTTCGGGCTGAAGGACGACTACGAGTCGGAGAAATATCTGGAGTTGATGATCAAAGCGCACGAGGAGCGATTTTATCTTCAATTATGCGAGAGTACCGAACTGCGTGAATTTATCCACAAACTCACTGAGTGGAAAGATATCACTATGCTTCAGCGGACAATGCTTCGTGCCTTTGTGCCCGATAGCGAGCTGACCCCTGTTCATTTCGATCAGATGTACCTTCGCGCGGGTCCCCCAACTAGCATTACAGCGTGGGTCCCGATCGGAGATATTTCGCTTGAGGGCAGCGGGCTGATGTACCTTGAAAAATCGGTTGATATCGGTCGACAGACCGAGGAAGAGTTCACCAGGAATGCAGCAAATCTGACGGATGAGGAGCGGGTCTCGGCCTTCAATAAGAATATGAATGATGGGGGATTTCTCAGTCGTGACACGGTTGCGTATGGCGAAAACGCCAAGCGTAAGTGGTTGATCACGGAATATGAAGCTGGTGATGTGATCTTCCATGACCCCTTCCTGGTACATGCCAGCTGCAAGAACAAGGACCCTGAAAGGAGGATTCGACTGGCTACTGATCTGAGATTCGTGAATTCTAATGAGCCGTATGATAAGGTATGTTGCGTACGCATAATCGCATGGAGCAATGACTAACATGACTGTAGCGCTGGATGAAGGTCTGGCGTCCACTTGATGGGCTGTGATGGCCATCATACGCCTTACCAGCACGCCAGGGAAGTAACGGTGCGGTGATATATCTACATGTTCAGTGATACCAGCTTAATCTACAACATACTTGTAACACTTGCATATTTCACGACATTTATCCTCTTCGCACAGAATTGTAGTGTCCCCCTCAACTCAACCGCATACCAAGCCGCCCTTACTCCCACTCCCTCATAAGCGTATTCTCCTCGATCTCCTTATCAAAATCCACCAAATGAGTCGAATGACACCAAGGCTTAATCGTCTCCTCCTTCTTAATCAACCCGGAGAAAAACGCACACCACTTCAACCGCGGATACGCCTCATTTATCTGCTTGCGAGTCGTGCGATGGACCAACCCCTCAAAGCCCTTCACATGCGGATGAATCCCGGTATTATCATACGTCGTAGCCAGCTGAATAAGCTGACCGAAGTAGGTAATCGTTCCATCGACTCCCATATCTTCATGTCGAATGATTGCCTCGGCTGCTGCTTCGGCCTGGTCCGCAGTGGCACCAAACTCCTTCAGCACATGGAGGGCTTTGATGCCGCCGTAGATATCGAATGACATGCGCGTTGCGGTGAGGTGCTCCTCCGCGGTTCCGAGGTCGTGGAGGAGACAGGTCAGAGCCCAGGTCACTGGGTTGATGGATGCTGCTTGTTCGGGGAATTGTTGGGTGGTGATTACCATTCCTGCGGTTATATGACGTGATGAGTATATGGATTAAGGATAATTTGCCTAGAGACGTACCGTAATAGTAAACCCTCATGGAATGGTTCAAAGTCTCGGGGTGAAGAACAGCCTTAGCGTATTCCAATGTCTTCGAGACTACAGGGTCGTCAAAGGGGAACTTGATCGTATCGAGCTCCACGGCTTCTGCCCTTTCGATGAAGGATTGGTCCGTAAATATGGCACCGGCATTGGCGGGCGTGCTGGACCAGCCGTTGGCTTTTATTTCGTCGTGGCACATTTTGTGTAAGTATAGGATACGACGGTTTGGTACTAAGTAAAGTAGAAAAAGAAATTTATCTTAGTTGGGGAGCTGTTCAATTCAAAGCGACAACGTCGGATCGGACCTTTATATAGCTTACATCTCGGCGCTGTTCTTGCCTCCTGCTTTCGACAATTTGAGATCTTCGTCATTCCCTTTTTGTGATATCACCCTTCTCGGTAGTACTTTGACGTGGCGTCCAGCTGGTTTACTTGGTTTACAATGATGCGGGCCTGGGGCAGCGCAATCGGGGGCCCCACTTCTTCGGATTACTCGATTAGGCAGTAGTTTGGAGTGGGTCTTTTGATATATAACCAATAGCAGGATAGATTTCCGTCAGTGGGTCACGGGAACATCTTAGGATGTCGCGCTGATGTCCGATGTTGGTTACTCTCCATCCATCCATCCTTTGTGACAGGGCGTTTATCGACGCATATGTCAAGCATAACCATGATAAATTTGCTGCTTATTTCAATCATGCCACTGCGTATCCCAATCTGCGTGAGATATTATACGCGTGAGGCTCGAACACTGGGCGTTTTGTTTGGTGTAAACTGTTGACGGTTTACATGCGGATACAAAACTCTGATTTAGCTGGTAGCAGGCTTAATACGAGCGAGGGATTGGTTCGGAGTGGTTTTCAGGACAAGATTTATCTGTGAGTTGGTGACAGTTTTGGATGTGAGGAGCCCGGGTGGTATGAAAATACGTTTTCTCAGCACCGTGGTCATCTTGATGAAGGCTTAAGGCGTATTCTTCTGGCTTTGCTTTCTTAGACCTGATAATATGGAAATGTGGGCCAGAAAACCTACGTTTCACCGTTTTCAAAATGTATAAGCTGTTGCCTGCTTTGTCGACAGTAGCGGAATTCAAGTGCCTGTAGCGAATGCGTAACCGCCAGACGCGGCCACCCTGTGACCACCAGTGGGCACAATTTCACGTCTCAGATCGTATAGTGTTAGTGAAGCCCGTGTATTTAGATTAATAGCCAATCGCCTTCTACCTGGCCCATGCGGAAAACCCAGCTGCTTGAGTCGTCTTCCACGTTCGATGGGTCCACCCAGAACCTTTCGAGTATTGTTACCGCATTTATCACATTGATGCATTTGGTCTCAAACCAAAAGCTCTCCAGACAATTCCTGATGTGGCTCTTTTGGGATTGCTCTTGGGACTCCAGCCCCGCAATAAAAAGAGGCCATAGTATGCATTTGAATAGCGCTTCATCCCTCCTCAGTGTTTCAGCCTCTACGACCAGCGCTTTTACCAGGTCATCCAAGGGGGTTTCATTTCCAGTAAGCCGATCACAGACCCGCCAACCGTAGATTAGAGTTGCAGATTTATATGCCTGGGCTAAATGTTCGAGAGACTGTATATTTCGCGTTGTTGAAGTGGTGGATGAGGCTCGCAGGGTCTCGGTCACCCAATTGTGGCAATCAAAGCTCATGGTAGAATCGAGCATACTTGTGACTGACTGGAGGAAAGAATAGGTCTCAGGCGTATCAAGGTGCCTTGGATCAGCTAAGCGGTCCCTAGCTTTTGAAAAGAAGCGAACGGCATATAGAAGGTACTCAGGGCAACCGATATAAGCCCTGTCGATGCTCATCTGCAGCGGTGCAGCTTGTTGGGGCGAAATATCCGCCCCAGACAATAGTTCGCGACCGCCAAATGTGGCACCAAGTGTTTCGATCCTGCAACGGGCAACATGTTAAATTGCGCTTTTCGTCATATAATTTGATGCTGGAGCCTCACAGGTAAATCTGCCCCATTATAAATTCCCGCGTGCCTTCAATAGTTGCTTCTAAATGCCGAGAAGTCTCCGCAGTATGCATGCCACTAACAAGTTTTTTGATGCCCCCTAGGTGGGATTTCCACTGGTCTCGCCCCGACTCTAAAAGATCGAGGAAAATCAATATAAACGCGCTCAGAATAAGGACATCTCTCGACCTCGATATTGGATCATTGAGCGCCTGGATCAGCCCGCACATGGCCTTTTGTTTGTACATTAAGCCATCAGTATGTGCCTTGAAGCGCGTCGCGTGGTCTTCGTCCTGCCCCTGACATTGTATTTGCTGGCCATTTGCCATGTGCCGAGCTGAGAGGGCCATCACAGAGGCAGTTAAGGCTGGATTAGCCAACGCTGCCGGAATAAGTTGTCTCAAAGGGTTTCGCTGGCTGTCGAACATGACAAACAACTTGCACACACATTTGCTGTCTGATTTCATCAGTAAGCGTGACTCACATCGCATTTGCTTGAGCACACTGACAATAATTCAAGTAATACATGGATGCATCATCCAGGGCGTCAAAGGAAGGATCCTTCAAACTTGGCGGAATGCTTATGTGGATGCTGATGTGGTCTCCCTTGTGCGAAATGGCCGACTGTCCTTTTCTTTCCACAGCGTCTGTGGCCTCCAATGTTGATTCTGCCAGCCTAGATTCATAGAGACAAGCTTCCCCGTAATCACCTTTGTTGAGGGTGTTGGATTTATCTCTTTGGTGAGCTTGTGAAGTCCGCGCTCTATTCCGGAAAGCCGGCCCATCGACCCAACGGAGGGGTCTTTTTTGAAGGCACTCTAGCCCTGCCTTTTGACACTTCTTACAAGGCGGATGGGTCATTTGGCATTCAACATGCCTACGCCGGCAAGTATAGCATGATCTGAACATGATGAATGCCAGTCAAGCTTGATTCAATGTGACTAGTCTGGAGTAGGAAGAAGTTTGGAGAGTTGAACGCCAATTGCCTTGCAGCGGGACAATACGTTACCCAAACGGTCATGTGACAGCACTAGAATAGTTTCTCTCCTCCCACTCTAACGACATCATCTTCCTCAAACATAGAACTAATTTGGACATAAATAGTGCTCTACTTCAAATTATTACTTTATTATGATGTGTGTATTGTTCGACAAGGTCACTCATCCAATAGCATGTGGGACTTCACTTGCTGAGACCCCTATCTGGACATATTTCAAAGTAGATAGTGTTCTGTACATTTCGACAACCGCCATCATTCCTCAAGTTACTATATAATTGTAACCGAACCGATCCTGTACCTTATGAATGTCATTTTAGTGTAACTATAGCTTTTGATGGTTGGTATAAGCGTGCAGTAAGGGAAAAGGGTCCGCATTTTGTCCATCTGGGGAATTCAGACATCCCATGGTCCGACGCTGTGTCCGAGATAATGCCAAACGCTTCTACACAAAGTCAGAATTATTGCAACCTTGTTGTTATGTGATCCTTCATGTTCGTAGTGCACCTTAGCACCTAGAAGAATAATTACATAAGTGCACTCTCATCAACCCTGTGGTGTATTAGTTGCAAACTACAAAGTGGATTGTGTTAAGGATGAGTATCAAGACTGATTTTTATTCAAATGAGATCTTGGCCTAGTTGTATTCTAACAGGTTGTGCATAGGCTTCCTTCGTATTCCGTTCAGATGTAACGCTTCAGACGACGTAAGGCTAAAAGGCCCATCCCTTGTTCTTTCATCAAGTCTCTAGCAGCTTCTTTGCCTCTCTTGCCAGATAGCACTGACACCATTGTGAACCTCTTCCAACTGATACCAGCTTAGCGCAAGATACCTTATACTTTATTGTATAAACTGGTGAACAAAGATCCATCCACCCATGGTACTATTTGCTTGTGCAAAGCTACCTGATTCCCTTTGTCTCTAAGGCCTCTGAGCCAAAGCTATATAGTCCATCTACAACCCTCGCTGTTATATCGGCTTATGTATTTAATCATCAATTACTCACTATACTTTGCTATATGCACCAGAACACGCCATAGTCTTTATCAAAATGAAGCTCTCTACTATTTCCACTCTTCTGACCATTATTGTATCAATTATGGCAGCCCCTACTACCGAAGGCCAAGACACTCCAATAACCGGCCTCGGGTCTCGCAGAGTTGCTAGCGGATGCTATCCCTTGTATGAAACTACTCCGAGGCCTTGATTAATATCTGGTCGCATTTGCTGACTGATAAAATAGTGCTTCCCCTCGTTGCGGTCTCTCAGACACATACTGCCAATGTGCTGATGGTACGTAAATCAGCTGTACTCTACCACTTGACGTCGTCCACTAACTAGGTACGTAGGGCGATTTTACGACTATAACGGGAAAATGGGATGTAACCCTCCTGCGGCTATTGTTGCTGAGTCGGTGACTGGTATTCCGGGATACACCTGCACCTAGACAGGAACTTTCCATCGTTTATGTTGAACATAGACTGCTGACTTATTCGTGTCTGGTTTTGTCCGCTTTCTTCATTGACCTACAATGTTATGTGAACAAGGACATTGATTTCAGTACTTTGTGCAAATTCTCTACTATATGAAACGCTTTGTTCTCGATCGGGTTATTACTTTGTGTGGTCTGTAGTCCGGGTCTTTGTCTCTTTGTGGTTCTTTTGTTATTTGAAAACCATCGTTCTAAATACAGTACATGCCACCTTATATGGTTTAAGCCTACCTTAACTTTTCAGTGCTCGTCATTCAGAGTGCTCAGAGGGGTGTCTTCCAATACGTGTATGTGGGACTCAACTATGCACGTCAACCCCGATTCTTTGACGAGCATTACTTCATAGGTCGAACACTCATTGCTCCAGTTATAATCATCCATTGCGACTCTGTATTTGTTGCTTTTTTCTTCGATCCTTGAATGTTTTCACTTCTCACGTCTAGACAGGATAAAGTTGCAGAAGGGTCATGCGAGAGACGAAGCACGTCCCCCCGCGCCCCCCCCCCC